GGGAGGACCCGCTCCTCCCCCCACCCCCGGCTCCTTCGCTCTGGCTCCGCCGCGACGTTTGCCATGAAAAACACCAAAGTAACTTAAGGAAATAATAAAATATAATTTTATTAGGAAGGGTTTATTCGGTTCCCCCGCGGTGTTACGGTGGAACGAGGCGGCCCCGGCCCCCTCCTCCCCCGAACCCCCTCCGAGAGCTGCGGCGATGTGGGGCGGGAAGGAGGGGGAGAGAGGGATGGATGGGGGTCTGGGGGGACCGTGGTGGTGCTTCTCCGTTATATTCTCCACAGAGGAGGCTGCAGAGCTGCCCCCTACAGCAGGCGGTGTCCTTATAGACGGGCAATTCCTGTGGGCTGCAGGAGAGGAACATCAGCAGAGCAGGGCTCGGTTAAGTATCATTATCTTAGTGATAATTATCATTATCATAGTTTCGCCAACAGGCGCCAAGATTGAAGACACAGTGGATCAGGTTTCCTTCGGGTTGGATATTCAGTTTGGGGAACCATCGAGTGAAAAGCCAAGGCCAGGGTAGACTCCATGCTTCCCCTCTCGCCCAGCCCACCGCGCTCCGAAGAGCACACCGCTTTCAAAAGCATTGGAATTCGACTTTCAAAAGCACTGGAATACGCGGATGTGGAATTTCGGTGAGCCGATGGGAAGCCCAAGGAGCCCCTGCCTGCATGTAGACACCAAGAAAAGGCAGCCCTGCTCCGTCCCACCCCTTGTGAGCCATGGCAGGAAAACGCACAGAGAAAGCAGATATTCTCACATCTCACTCCCCAGGGGCAAAAAAGCCACTTTGAGGGGGGCTGAAGTGGAAAGGAGGTACAGAGGGACGAAACTACAGCACTGGCAGCATCAGTATTTGTGAAGGAGGGAGCTGAAGGGGCTCAGGTGCCACCTGAAAACAGCATTTCGCTTGACAAACCTGCCTGGGATCTGCCTTTTTTAACTCACCACCCCCTTTGCAAATTTCTTCCCGCTTGAAGCTGGCAGATTGGCAGGAAGCTTTGAGGACACTAGCCTGGCGAAAAATAACTCAGAAGGAATTCCTATACAGGAGTAAATTTAATAAAACCACCACCAATTGTTTACTTTAACATAGCTCTTGTTACAGAAATCATAAAAATGGACTCAGTAGCTAGCTCATTAGTTCTTTCCCCTTTTAATTGAAAAATACCCCACTGATTTTCAACTTCTACTGCACTAGATGGAGTGTTAAATACTTGCCAGGACAGTACGCCCAATAATTGAGCCCAAAACAAACACAAAGACAATTCCATCATCTTTCCTTTTCAATGTTACGACTCGTTATAATGTAAGTGAAACTTAAACAGCAAGGAACGGTCCATTTGACAGATGAAAGGGGGAGGGAGAGGAGATCCACAGCTGAAATCTTTCCATAGGTCGCAGCCCTGCTCCGTCCCACCCCTTGTGAGCCATGGCAGGAAAATGCACAGAGAAAGCAGATATTCTCACATCTCACTCCCCAGGGGCAAAAAAGCCACTTTGAGGGGGGCTGAAGTGGAAAGGAGGTACAGAGGGACGAAACTACAGCACTGGCAGCATCAGTATTTGTGAAGGAGGGAGCTGAAGGGGCTCAGGTGCCACCTGAAAACAGCATTTCGCTTGACAAACCTGCCTGGGATCTGCCTTTTTTAACTCACCACCCCCTTTGCAAATTTCTTCCCGCTTGAAGCTGGCAGATTGGCAGGAAGCTTTGAGGACACTAGCCTGGCGAAAAATAACTCAGAAGGAATTCCTATACAGGAGTAAATTTAATAAAACCACCACCAATTGTTTACTTTAACATAGCTCTTGTTACAGAAATCATAAAAATGGACTCAGTAGCTAGCTCATTAGTTCTTTCCCCTTTTAATTGAAAAATACCCCACTGATTTTCAACTTCTACTGCACTAGATGGAGTGTTAAATACTTGCCAGGACAGTACGCCCAATAATTGAGCCCAAAACAAACACAAAGACAATTCCATCATCTTTCCTTTTCAATGTTACGACTCGTTATAATGTAAGTGAAACTTAAACAGCAAGGAACGGTCCATTTGACAGATGAAAGGGGGAGGGAGAGGAGATCCACAGCTGAAATCTTTCCATAGGTCTTTTGAGAAGTGGTGCAAAATACGCCTCCTTTTCCTGCCTCAGAATTAAAAAACTCAGTAATACACACCCACCCACCCCTCCTCTGGGTTCAGAGCACGGGCCCTGTGTGCGTGGATGGGAAGAGACAAGTTGGATTTGGGTGGGTAGCAATCCAGGGTCAAAAAAAAAAAAATAAAAAAAGAAAAAAAAAAAGCCAAAGCATCCTGAATCGCAGCGTATGTCGGGCACGAATGCAACGGACACCGGGTTACCCTGCGTCAGGAGCTGCGCGCGAGGGGACGGGTCCTACGCCAGCAATGGATACGCACACAACACTGTGGAGGCCGGACGTAAAGGAACTGCAAGAAGAAAGAAGAAAAACCCCACCTCCTGGGGAAAAAAAAAAAAAAAAAAAAAAAGAAATAATAATATATTCAACTACACCAGCACACGCTTCCCCCACCCCATCCCAGGGAAAACAAAACAAAATAATCAAACTGAAAAAAAAATGCACAGCAAATAGACATAATCTTGAAGATTTTTAAAGAATAAATATTTTTTTGTAATTAAACATTATGCAAACACGTGCCACGCTTGCTCTTTGTCCATGCATATGCGCTATATACAACTTTGAAAAATACTGTGTTGTCCTCTTTTTGTTTTAAAAGTCATATACAAAGGTTTTTTGTTGGTTTTTTTTTTTCCTCCTTCCTTGCTGTGTACCCCCCCCCTCCTCCCCTCCCCCAAAAATCATCTTTACAACGAGCCAATCGACATTCATCCGTATACTTGGGTGGCAGAGAGGAGGAGGGGGGGGGGGCGGGAGGGCCCCCCCCACCCCTCCCTTACCAAAGTACATCAAAATGGCTGGTTTGGACATGAAAAGCAGTGTCAAGAAACTGGTTTAAATTTTTATCTGTACTACACACAGGAAAAGAAAGATAGAAAAGAAAAAGGAGTCGGCTTGGAGAATGAAGCTACGTTACAAGTTAAAGTTGGAGGGTTTGTTTTTTTTTTTAGTGCGTCTGCACACTCTTATTGGCCGCCTAGAATACTGTTGTACAATGGTTTATCTACCTTTTTTTTTATTACAATATAATTTACTTAAATTTTCTGTTAACAAAACAGAATCCCAGTACTACAGACCAGCGGTGTAACAGGCGTAGCGCCTTGTGTGTGTTTTATTTGAATCGCATGAGCACTCTAGATGGTAAAGGTTTCAGAGTTCGTTTTATGCGGGGCCAGTCTCAGTCCTCAATGTACTCCCACAGGTCCTTCTCGTAGCCTTCATGCACGTGCTGCAACAAAACCCTTCGTCGACTCTCGCAGTATCTGCGGCAAAGAGGAAGAGCACAGAAAAAGCAGGTTAGGTACCACGGCTCATCCTCAGCGTCGAGCAATGCAAACCTACATTGCAGCCTCACTTCCGAAAAAGGAGATCCCCTGAGAAGGGACTTTGTATTTGTAGCTCGTTAACAGTGCTAATTAAGACTTCGGTTACTCCAGTCACTCAACTCCAGGTCCCCGGCTGAAAAAACAGCATGCAAATTTCAAGTTTCCCATGCAAAAGTATCCCCGAAGCCCCTACAGCTGAGAAACCTCCATTAATAACTGAAAAAGGAAGAAGCGGCGGCAGCAGTTTGCGAAAAGCCAGATGACGGGGCAGCGGTGACACCCGAAACGGGACGAAGCTCTCCTCAAACCAGGGCTGGCGCCTACTCACTCAGCCCTATCAGGACAACGCAAATCCAGGAGCTAGCTGGGCAAAACCTTGGGAGTGCTGACACAGGTTTATTCCCCTCCGAAGTCCTGGTGGAGGTGGAAGGGGTCAAGCTGGCTACAAAAAGGGTTATGGGTCTGCCTGGAGTACAAGTTTTACCTCGCATCGCAATTCCTGGGCCTCAGAGGGGCACTACGCCCTGCAGCGTCTTCCCACCTATGCTCAATTTAACCAGATAAAGCTGCAAATAAAATAAAACTGATCCCGGAGTTAGGTACAGTCCTACCGGGATCAATGATACTGAGGAAAAGTGATATCATAGGAACATATCAAAAGACGCCATGTTCGTTTCGGGTGCGTTAGCCAACTAAAAAGATAAAAGCAGAGAAACGTTTAAAAGTATTCAGGTTCCGAGAGCAAATTCTGAATAAGCAGCAGGCATTTCTGGATTAAAGCCCTTCCAGCGGCGATGCCAAAGCCTACACCATCCTTAGGCACGCAGGGGACGAGACGAGTCTGAGTAACAGCTCCCAGGGCCCCAGGCGCAGGCGTGCAGCCGGCTGACGGTTCGGCAGTGCCCAGCCCGGAGTGGTGTGCTGCAACGTGAGAAAACTGGAGCCCAGGAGCCGACCGCTGAGTTAACCGGTTCCTGCTGGGAATTGTGCGGTGGGCACACCTTCACCCACAGCCCCTACACTGCCACCGTTCAGTATCCGGTCAGAGCCACACATTTATCTGAATAAAACTGTTCTGGCTCTTCTCCTTGCTACCAGCTGTTGCAACAGAAATCATCGTACACAAAGTCCCATTGATTTTCTGAAGCATGTGATAGCAAACACGCACAGTTTCTGCTTTCCCAACTTCAGTTATTTTGCTGCTGGTGACAGGGCTTTAATCCCGTTTTCTAGAAATGTCTTTGCAAACTAAGAGATCGAAACAGCTGAAACCAAATGAGGCGGGAGGTCAGTTCCAGCAATTTCCCAGAGCTCATTAAACCCACCCCAATAACATCCTTGGTCCCAGTCTTGCATCAGTACACCGTAACCGGTACACAAAGAGCACCGTGCAGGACACGACTAAGACATGACTGAACTAGTTAATTAGGGACCTGCGCAGGCTTGACAGATGCATACTTTCTTCCAAGAAACACGAAGGCAGGTTTGGGCTACTACGTTTTCAGGCAGTTCAGGCTATATTACGTTTTTATTTCTTCTGGATAGCTGTTACCACTCCCAGAAGAGCACCCAGTTTCAGAGGACTTAGGCGAACAAGCAGCTTGAGCTGACATACCAACTTAACAGTGGTCTTAAAGGGTAAATTATAAAATATCTCAAAAAAAGAAGGTCTGATAGTCTTGCCCAGTCCCAGCCACACTGCCAGACTGCGGCTGAGTGGACCACAGGTCCCCCACGGCTTAACAGCTACTTCCAGTCCCCTGAGTCCCTTAGACACTACAGCTCACCCTACTTTGGCTTCCCCCCCCAAGTTGGGCATAAAAAATTTAGTTACTTTGGCAAAATGCCTCAAAAATGCAAGCCATAATCCTCTGACTCATCCGCACTTACAGCTTTGTATTTTTCCACCCTGCAGAAGCGATTCCTCTGGGACTGTAAAGAAGCATTGACATTTGTGTCACCTGGACCCCAGCTTTTCTGTTCTCGTCCCCACGTGGGCAGGTTGCCCTCTCCCTCTTCTTTCAGATGGTTTTTCTACACTCACATTTTGCACAAATGGACCCAACAGATACATAAAAGAGCCGACTGTTCTTATGGCAACTCATCCTAGGCCAAAGCTGTCAGCTGGGAACAACAAAGTCACTGCTTGTTCTTCTCTAGCCCTCACTACGTAGGTCCTGTCTCGGTCCTGGCCAAATCCACGTGCTCCTTCTGTGCGGGAATAGCAGTGTATAAGAAGCTGTTGCTTTTGGTCACAATATTTTTCCATTACGGGACTGAATCTTCTAGCTACTGCTCAGCAAAGCAGATGCAAGGCAGAGTTGGGAACCTCTCCCTGCAGGCTGTCACCTTCTCCCCACCTCTGAGAGCCGGGACACAAAAACACGCTGCCAACATCTGCGCGAGGCCTTTCACCGCCGACAATTCCAGGGGCTGGCGTGGGACACCACTGCTGCTGCTCTCAGATGCCCAGGGACCAGCTGATGATGACAGTGTATGGCAGAAGGCCACCAGCAAACAGCTTCCTAGGGACGTAACTCTGGCGGAAACTGTAGCTTGGCAAGTACACACGTCACTACCTGTCACACCGGATGGCGCTACTGGTACTTTGAGATAGAGGATTATTCAAAAAACAAACCTGTACTTATCCTGTACTTTCTGCTTTATGTCTTGCAGCGAATCTTGGGATATATCTCGCTCAAGGTACCCGGAAAGCACCTCCGTAGCATTCTCTAAGTCTGCTTGGTTATTCTGTAAAGACAAAAAAAGAAGAAAAAAAAACAGAAAGAAAAAGGAGGTTTTTTGGGGGGAAGGAAAGAAAAAAATTTTTTCTTCAATCCAACTTGAATCAGTACTGAAATAAAAAGCGAGATTAGGTATACATGCACTGTGTAACACTAGTAACCTGCTCTGAGCATTAAGATTGAAAAAGCTGAAATTTCTTCATTTGATCAGAAGAGAATCCGCCTACCTACCAGCAAGCCTTGTGTCTTCCTTGATCTGCGATATCCTGGCAAGCCTAAAAAAAGTCCTTTCCTTACAACACAATTCACATCCCACTCTGTCCCTTGTCGATTGATGTTTTTACCAGCGTTGGCAAAGCCTCCACTGACGCCTGGTACATGCACAGCAGCATCAGAGCTTTCACGACCGCTCATTTTTGTGCACCCTTCGCTGAGTGTGCAGCGCAGGAGCATCCTGCTTCAGTTCTGCACAAAGATCAGCAAAGGACTGTTTTAAATCATAAACGGCCGGTGCAGTTTCAGCTTCGAAGCAGTTGGGACCTCCACGTTTAGACCTTCAAGTGGAATTTTTCTGGTAGTGCTCTTGGAAAAAAGCCAACAGCAGGGAAAGGCAAAATGCCAGATTTAAGCTTTGAACTGGCAAAGAAGGCATTAAGACAGAACCTCAATCCCTTTCTTGTTTCAGAGGGCAGTAACTCGTACCTCTACTTCCTCCTCCAGCAGAGAATGCTGCATGATACCCAGCACGGCCTCTACCTTTTGTACAGCAGAATATTAAGACAGACTCACTTCTGCACAACTGGAGAAAACAGCTTCCCCAAGCATTAAATCCCTATTTCACGTCGCTTTGTACTCTGAACTCCTGACAACCACGTTTTCTCCTACCTCAAAGATAATGGACTGATTATTCTTTTTGAGGTAGAAGGCAAAGACGTAAGTGTACATGAGTGTGGCACGACACTGGCAGAGGACGTCGACTGCTTTCTTCAGGAACTGCACCTCGATCCACGACATGTTGTGCTGCTGCATCTCCTCCATTTTCTGCTTCACCTGAGCATAGAGCTTGTGCTCAAAGCGCAGGCTCTGCATGTGGTTCATATAGCGGTTGCAGTAGAACAGGTACCTCTGCAGGGCTGCTCTGGATCGCTGTGTTAATTCCCATTAGAGAAAAAGAAAACGAATAGTTAAAACAAAGTAACGTCTGCCAGAGAAGTAAACCCTTCACCAGGCTCTTCCTGACCCTGAGAACAAGCTTCCTTTCCAAAGGTGCTTCCTCTCCTCTCACGTTGGCCAGACTTTGACGGCGCCGCTTCGTGCGGCACTGTTAACCCTGACATTGGGCGGAGATGAAGGGCCAGACCCACGACAGCTCGCCATCGTGCGGGGGAATTCCTAGCTCAGCTGTGGCATCCTCACTCCAAACCTTGAAAGTAATTAGAATCACATTGCCAAAGCCCGATGAGTTTTGAATGTCAGTCTCTCAATTCAAAATGCTTGGACTTCAACGGACTTAAATGCTTTCAGTGTCATGACAAACAGCGAGAAACAGATTATTATTTTTTTTTTTGGCTACTGAGGAGGTCTAATTAAACAGTTACGTGCTTGTGTTAAGACGGCAACCTTAGGTTGCCTAGGCCACACTGATTATAGAGCAAAGGGAAGACACCGTGTGCTAAATAGTACAAGGGAACCAAGATGACTCAATACACAGCCATTAATCTTATTTTCTTCTCACTGACAGATCAGCTGTTAAAAAAAAAAGAAATGACAACATGGGCACGGTTAAACTTGTATGTTGTGGATGTGCAAAGGTAGCACCTATCAGGCAAAGTCGTCCTCACGTGCAGGAGGAGGGGCTGCAGGAAATACTCTGGTTCTTGGCTGCAACGCTACTTGGACAGAGATGCAGGAAACGGATTTCTGCAAGCTGCAGCACACAGCATGCAACCCCTCCCCATTAAAAAGGTTTTTGGCTCTATCCATATTCACAAAACAGTTTAATGTAGCCGCACCTTCACTCACAATTTCTTCTCTATGAAGCCTTCAAGTACAGTTATGGAAACAACTGAAGTCTATTCTATTTACATTCAAAAGGTCTGCTGTGTTTGAACACCTCAGAACTCCCATTAAGAACTTTGTAGTAAAGAGCATTTTATGAAAGATGTGAAGATTCTTGTCGCGGACCCACGGCATTGTGATGGCTTCATGTGAAGAGCTGCTATGAAACAGGCAAAGGCAGCATGACAGATAACAACTGAGTTAACATGTTCTTTAAATTGGGTTAAAGTGGCTTTGAATGTTTTTTTTTCTGGCACGAAGCAAGAGTCCAAAGCTGTGGGGGAACTTAACTGGCTTCTGGTTTGTGCCCAAATCCAGGGAATTCTTCAGAGCTGATTTATAGGTTTACAGAAAGCCCGAAAGCACGACACGGGGCTGGCGATTACCCTTATCACCAAAGGTTATGGACTCACCTCCTGTGCATCCCTTGCTGCCTTTGCATCATCCTCATTGTAGCGATTACAGTTGTACCTGTAACAGGGACACCGATTCCACAGATTTCAGTCCAAATCCATGCCGCCCGCATCACGGCTTCCTCGCCTTCCAGCAAGGCACGCTCCTGAACTCACCAGGCAGATCCGTGGGGCTCCCAGGGGCCCAGACACACCCAGCAGAACTCCGCTTTGCAGTTCTGGTTCCGACAGACCATGTGGTTGCAGCCCCCGTCCTTCTCGATGGTGACGTGACCGTTAGCGGGGAAAGCGCAGAACCTACAACAGTCTTGTGAGGTTAGAAAGGTTCCTGTGGCAGCAAGAGATCACACATCGAGTGAAATGTATGATTTACTTCTTCCCTTTGATCATTGTGATCCTCTTTCGAGTCAGGCCTTTAAAATATTTCCAAAATCAGAGCGGCTAGACAGCAAAACCCCCCACAACCCTAAGGAATAACACATATTATCTATGCTGCTATCATGGCGGTACACTGGACGGGTAATTTCACAACCTTCTCCAAAAAAATCACAGCAGTAGCGATGGTCTGTAACTGCCCAGGGGAAGGCGTCTGGCTTTCCTCACCACCGAGTGTTTGGCACATTTCAGCCCTCCAAACTGAAAAAAGCTTAACAGTGAGCTGATATCACGCTGTTATCAATCTGAGACACCTGCAGTTGTAAAATGCCCTCCAAAAAAAGTACCTGAAAACATGCAGTAAGAGTAGCATGCTTCAAAAAAAAACCCCTTCTGTCAACTAAAAATACACTTCTACTCCTGGGGCATTTCCACATTTCCCATCAGGCCCCTTTCCCCCCCCCTTCATGTGACATCTCACTGAAGACTTTCCTACAGAAGCCCACATGGAGCTTCCCTTTCAGGTGTGAGGCCTTTGACAAACACGAGGACATCGAAGAGCAGCAGTGTACAGCCAAAGCCTTTCGGGAATAGGGTTGGGGGGTTTTATAACACCAAGATCATTCTCGTACGTCAGCAGCACATGGCTACTTCCTAAATGATATTCAACTCAGGTAGAGCATAAAAGATTATTTCTGTAGTATCCCAACGACTACACAAAGCCGAGGTTGCAAGAATGTACTACGCTGACCCTACAAGCGAAGAAAACCAGTCCAACTCTCTTCTGCGGCTTGTTCCCATTCCAGTGGCACTTCTCTTGTGCTGGGACACAAAGCAGCTGCACGAGAGCTGGGCAAAAAACCACCCAAAATAAAACCAACAAGTATTTCAGCCTAGATGAGTTCCTCAATCCAGCCACACCAGCATTTATGAAGTTTTTGCAAAAGCCAGTTTTATTTACAAGGCAGTAAATAAATGTATCAAAACAAGTAATCCCCACTTGTGCAAAACCAGCTGCGGCTTTTGGGTCAGAAGCGTGTGAAATCCCACCCCCAGTTAGCAGCACATCTTTACTGTTTGGTAACCAGAGGAGACATCAAGAGCACCATTTCCTATTCCGGCACTCACATAAAACTCTCAACAAAGGAAGACACCAACACGTTCAATCAGTCTATAACTGCTCCTTCTTGTACATCCCCTCCAAGTGCCCCAACCGTTACTACGCTTTCATACAAGTTTGCCTATTTGTACTGTAAGAGACGGGAGAATTTGCACAATGAGAAGTACTCAGAAGATCGCTCCGGAGGTGCAAGAGACCAGTGCGGTCTCCAGATGTCAGACGTGGCCCTTCCCTCCGCAGGGAGGGAGGTTTGCAGTGAGGCAAAGCAGGTTACAAGGGAAAAGAGACAAGGGGAAAGGCGTGAGAGACCGCAACTTCTTTTTGGACAACATAATTAAAGTGCTTTTGGCTAATTTTGCTTCTCGATGATTGCAAATTTGCAGACCTGAGCACTAATGAGAAGCAAGGCTCGTTACAGCAGCTTGGCCTAGCGTTGAGGTTATCCTTGCCTGGAGCTGAGGGGGGGGGCTGAACAAGATGGCACCCAGAGGTCCCTTCCAACCTACATAATTTCAGGACTCCGGTCTCCCCAGCACTGGCAGAGCGCTCCACTTGAGTACTGCCATCATTTCTTCCTCTTCAAAGTCCTGCTTTGGTTCTACTGCCTGATCCTGAAGGGAAAGGGTTAAGGACTGGGCAGACAGGCGACATCCCACACAACCAGCAAGGGTTTTCCTAAGCAAGGGTGAACCGGTCCACTATTACAGGACTTGTTCGGGACGAGCTGCCCTCCTGTTCAGCCAAGAGCTCCCATCCCACCAACAGGTCACAACCCTGGGGTTTGGCCTGAATAAGAGGACAAAGCTCAGTTTCTAACCAAAAGATCAGGTTTGTCATGTAAGTAAAAAGATTCCCCAGATTTGGGGAGCTATTCCAGTAGTCTGATGACTGTTTCTTTCTCTCCTCCTGTCCTCGTGCCCTGCCAGTACACTGCGTGCTAACTGGCCGCTTAATTGTTTCGGTTCAGGTTTTTCTGGGCTGGTTGTTACTCTGATGGGTTCAAACAATCAAGCAAGCACTTAAGGGGATTCTTCCAGCCTGCTTTCCTCCCCATCACCTGTGTCTATCCTACGAATGGAGTACCTGCACTACAAACAAGAGTAAAGGAAGCAGAGTAGCTCCCTTGCAGGCCCTCTCAGGGGGGACATCATCAAGATGTCCTCTTGGGATGTCCATAGGATGGATGCTCAGCCAGGTCAGCTTGTTCCCCATTAGTCAGTCACTGCATTTCTGTGAATTTAAGAGTCAAAAACGGTCTCTCCTTTGAGCACACTACCCAGCGCAGTATCTATTTTCCATTTCCCAGGCAGCCCTCCTCCCTCTTCCAATCCTGCACCAAACCCCTCAGGACCCAAATTTAGGTTCATCCCATCAATACCATTCACAACTGTGAAGATCCCTGCTCAATGAGCTCATCAGCCAGGGTGCCCTTCGATAACACACATGAACAGTGGCACTGCACCCCTGTCACATCACCACACGGCTCCCCCATCACCCAAACACTGATCCTGGGGTACACAGCGAAGAATGGGTTTTCAAGAGATCACAGAATCATAGAAAGGTTTAGGTTAGAAGGGACTTTGAAAATCATCCAGTTCCACCCCCCTGCTATGAGCAGGAGCACCTCCCACCAGCCCAGGTTGCTCCAAGCCCCGTCCAACCTGGCCTTGAACACCTCCAGGGATGGGGCAGCCACAGCTTCTCGGGGCAACCTGCCCCAGGGGATCACCACCCTCAAAGTGAAAAATTTCTTCCTGATATCTCATCTAAATCTCCCCTCTTCCAGTTTGAAGCCATTCCCCCTCGTCCTATCACTACATGCCCTTGGAAAAAGTCCTTCTCCAGCTCTCCTGGAGCCCCTTTAGGCACTGGAAGGGGCTCTAAGGTCTCCCCGGAGCCTTCTCTTCTCCAGGCTGAACAATGCCAGCTCTCGCAGTCTGTCCTCATAGGAGGAGGGCTCCATCCCCCTGATCAGCTTTGTGGCCCTCCAGATGACGGTGGTCACAGGGCTCTGTGGTCTCTTCCAAACATATCTAATGAGATGCCGACATCCACATGCCTCGGTGGAAGATGCGGATAATCCAGACAGCTGCAGCGATCACTCCCGCTTAGGAAAATCCCACAACTGGAAGAAGAAACAGTTCCCATATGACCTGCCAAGCTGGAGAGGCGCAACGAGGAACGTCCACACCACTTGTGGGGCCATCCTCATTCCCAGCAAGGCTCAAGTAGGAGCACTGAAATTCTGCTCTCCTGTCTTTGAGGATGAGACCAAGCTCTCAGGGTGCTTAGGGCTTCTAGCCCTGTGATGCAAATTAGAACAAAAAGACCCTAATTACAGCCCTTCTATTAGAGGGAATGCCGCTTTTGAAGCCTTTATATGCCTGTCAAGCAAAGCACAAGGAAGACAGATTTCACAGTAAGTTATACAGATGCACGAAGCTGTGTAAAAGCTGAATATTACTAAAAATTAAGGAAAAGCCATGAGAAGAACCTGCTAAAGAAAAGCTGAACACCAGTGGAAAGAAAAAAGCAGCAACTACTCAAGCCACCAACACAACGAGTGGGAGAGATTTATAGATTAAGGAGGATAGGGAAGGAAGATCTTATTGAGAATTATGACTACGCAACAACAGAATAGCCAGCAAATCAAATTACTAAACCGGTAGATTATTCTGCACGTTATCTGTCATGCCGCGACGCAGAAGTGACCTCATTAACATTGTTCCACTCTAAACAATTTGGCGTTGTGCTTCCACGCTGCGCTTCGAAACAAAAGCCCGGGGAACCTGGCAAAAGGAGAACAATCCCTATTTTGCTGTATAAAGGCTGCGTGTACGTAACACACCATAAAGCTCAGCTGCTGGTGTCTGAAGGGGAGGCTCATTAGAAACATATTTCAGTGCAGGTGAAACAGATGAGTCCTCTCCGGGACTCCTGGAGGCAAGCGGTGTACATCAGCCTCCCAGCCACGTTCACAGTGACACCTTCACCTATAATCCATCAAAAAAAAAAAACCCAACCCCAAACCAATAATCCTGAAATGCCAGGGGTGCTTCTTAATGCGCTTCGACAAAACCCAAAACCACTGAACTTAGTGGTTAGTATAAAATAGTACACCGTGACAACACCTAGAATCATTGAGCAAAGCAGGGCATTTTAAACACTTGCTTATTCGAGAGGAAAAGACGGCACTTTGACATCTCAGGCAAGAGACACTGTTCACAGCTCTGGCAGGAAAATGTGCTGGTGAGAAACAAAGAGCAAAGTTCGATGCTGGTGCCCAGGGAGGATCGAGGGGCTGCCAGCACTGCCACGCGTTAGAACAAATGTAGGACTTCCAGAAAGTACAGACGGAGCGCATGTTCAGACATTAAAAAGTGACCTGAAAAGGAAGAGAACTGGGCCCGTGCCATTTTATCTCACTTAGAGGAGAAAAATAGCCAATAGCTTTTCTGGAGGAAGAAAATCTGCCCGTTTTATACATCAGGCATTCAAGTCCTGTCTAGCCCGGGAGATAATGAGATGGTGACATGCCAGGAGCCAAAAGCGGTAAGGCGAGGGCATTTTTAGTATCAGATAAACAACTTTCATTAACACCAATTTAACTTCCACGAAAATAAAAACCCCCAAACAACAGTGCCTTGGGTAAAGACCGGCACCATTACCACCTTTGTTCTTCTTCCTTTAGTATTCTCAGATGCAGAAAGATTAACATCACAAACTCAGGTTTGAAACAAGTTTTTCCCTCTCTCTTTTTAGGCTCCTTTCAGGCAGTCTTGATACACCTTAAAAGCCCAAAATAAATGCAGAAATCCAAGTTTTCTGTATTCCTTACTCCTTACTAAACAGAAGTACCTGATCCATGTGGTTTCTTTATTCCCAAAGCCGCATGAACCAAATTATACCTGAAACCTGTCTAGTTTAATTCAAGGAACTATTTAAGAACCAAGTTATTACAACTAACTGAGAAAGAAAGAAGTGTGCAAAACCTTGGACTATTCAACCCTTCTCTGGCAAGATGACTGAGAATTAAATGCTTCTTAAAGAACTTGTATAGGCTTATCTCAAGTTTAAATTAATTTAGTTAAGCTGAACTCATATGTGAAAGCATCTTCAGGAAAAGGCCATCAACTCCAGCACACTCTCCGCTGCAAGCGCTGTATCTTTTGCGCAAGTAGAAAGAGTTTCGTGCAGGTCTCCTAAGTGTAAATATATGAATGCAAAATTCAAAAAAAAAAAGATACAGGAAACCACAGAACTTGCTACTCAAATCTCCTCCTTTTTCATTCAGACCATTCTACATAATTCATCAAAAAATGCATCACATCACTCCAGTTTGTGAACAGAAACCAATTCAGCCGAGTTTCACTTTTCTGATCTCTGATATAACAATTGCTTAATTTTGCTTTTCCTATTCTGTCTCCCAGGGCAAGCTGGAACAAACGTATCTCACATCCTCCTGTTGCAAAGGATTACCCAGATTTCAAGACCGCATTCCAGGAGGACCGGTATTTTTCTCTTCCATCTTCATCTTGCTAAGACAGAAATCTTTCTTCCCTGAATGGAGACCATGTGGGACAAGACTGCAGCTCAGCATCATGCTTGGAGGACTTGAGAAAGCACTTTTGAAAAGCTAGAAACAGTGACAGAGACCACAGTAGCAATTAAATTACTTGGAGGGTTTCTCCAGTGAAAGTGGGGATTTTTTGCATCTGATGGTACCTGATCCCATTCCCTTCTAGGTTCTTCAAAATGAAGAAATTCAACACAGAATTTGGGTTCTGACTTGCAGTCAGTGAAGCAAATAGCTATGAAAGCACGAGACATCCCTCCCCAAAAACAACTGTTCTGTTTTCCTGCCAGAAATAGTACAGAGATCGAACAAGGGGCAACTCCAACTCTGCAATTCCTACCCCAGTACATCGCTACCACCTCATGCTACAGCAGGAAAGGATTTTACTTGGTTCCTCTCTGACCAGCAGCAGGACCGTGTCTCTGTCAGATAGACACTTGGGTTTCTCCCTGCCGTTGACCAAGGGTCAGCAGGCAATTCAGGCAAGAGGAAGCGGTGCCCGGCAGCCCCGCGGCTCGGGCCGATCCGGTTCTCCAGAGGCTGCGAAGTTCCGTTTGCACGTGTTCCAGCAGCCAGCGCTGCTCGCGCTTTATCACTGCGGCAGTGTGAAACTACCACCTTCCACGTCTTCGCTGCCACAAGGCGGCAGAGATCATCGCAAGGGGTGGGTTACGTTTCCTGCCAACTTTCCCCTCAACTGAATCGCACGTCGGTTCAGAGAGAGAATTGTGGTATCGTCCTTCAGTTAATTCAATTGATATGGATACCGTAAGACTCCAGGACAGTTGGCTTGCTCAAATGTCTGGTGCAATTACCCTGATGTTATTTTTCTTCCTGTTGCTGCTGCCCAGCCTGGGCTCCAAAGTACTTTCTTGCTGTAGGAGCATCTCGCACGGTATTAGAGGAAGTAGCTTAGACACGGATGTTCAAGGACAACAGCTCTTCTGCTGCCGACAGCAGACTACAGGAACTAACAGATAAGCTGGGCTGATGCCAGCATGGCTTGGCCATACTCGATTTCCCCTCCTCGCTGTCCTCTGGATGGGTGCTTCCCACAGAAAATCTTTTTATTCTGGACACTCAATACTATTTCTGACAGTCTGAGCTATGCTTTAAGTACCAGCCCAAACGTGAGCATGGCTCCTACCTAGACAAAGTCTAGAAAGGAAGGAATGGGCAAGGTAGGAAATAAAAAAACCTAAATAAATTACCATCTTTAATATTTCTGTCTACGCTTAAATCCGCGGGCAACAAGCTGCAGAAACCCTCATCTTGTCTGAAAGAGACAAATAGCTGCTTATTTCCAGTAGCCAGTGTTAGCGGCACATTATTCATGTTTGGTCCACATTAACACATATGCATGTATCATTTCAGCCCTTTTAATGGGCTAAGAATCCAGTAAGGGAAAGCTTAACATTTGATCGTAACAAACCTCAGCAAGGAGAGCTCAGATCCTGGTCTTTAGCAGTACATGCCAAGGCAGGGGCAGGTAGAAGACAGGGAGCCCTACGGCCATGACCAAGATCACACTCCTGGGGGCAGCAGCAGCTCCTCCTCTGGCTCCCGAGGGCTTTGTCACAGGCAAAATAGGGCTGTGGCCATTCTGACATCCCAAATATTTGATACCCGAGGCTAAAAGCTGCTTGGCATGTGCTTACATTTAGCCCTTTCCAAGCTATTCGGTTACGATTTTAATACGAGCGATACCTGAAGATCAAGCAAACTTTGAACACATCTGGCGCAGTTCTTGAGCCACAATACATCTTTGAACACACCCACCTCCGAAAAAGCCAAGTTCACTTTATTGAGCGAAGTTCAGCCTCCAAGCAGGGACCACACAAGTGTCAGCCCACGAAACAGAGAGAAGCAGCCGAAACCGCACAATTTCAGCCCGACTTTTAACTGTGCACTTCAGCACGATGGGTGTTTCTGCTTTCACCATAACGCAACATTCCAGGTCAATGAAAAACACACAGCCGGTCCCAGAACGCAGCAGCCGCTGCTGCAAACAATACCATTAACCAGTTACACAACGGAGCTAAGAAAACAAAGCAGCCATTTCCTCACGCCCTCCCCAACTCCCTCCACCCTCCTGGCTCAGCGCAGACCCAGGTCTGCTCCTAAGGCACAGTGGCATCTGGCTTCCGCTGCTTTTTGTTTTCTGGCCACCATGGCAACCTTTGTTTTAATTCTTCCCAAACTGAGCAAAGGCTGAAGTTTCAGGCAAAGTCGGGCTAGCTGGAAGGAAGACATTTACATAATAAAATCTTAACAGCTGTTCTGCCAGTCTCTATCTGGAATCCTGCCCAGCGGAAATGAACAACTCCTCGAGAGGCCGGCCCAGGGGATTTAAAGGCAGATGTAAATTATCACAGCCAAATCAAGCCACGGGTGGTGTTAACATGTTTCACACGCTTGGAGCGAGGCACAGATCTGCTCAGGGAAGCCATCAGTGCCAGACAGGAGCCCAAAGACTTAAAAACTTAAGCTTCCTTTGGGTCTCCAATTAACTCTTTCCTACAGGAGCAAACTCCACTTAACCCAAAGAACCTCACCTGATTCGAGGCAGTAACACCTATTTGCTCTTCAAACAGGAGTACTCCAGTGTACTGGATTTTAAGGCTTGCTCTAAACTAATGACATGCAACAGAAAGAATAACCCTAGTACAGAGGAATCAGGCTGTCATTCTTCATCTGACACGTCTATATATAATATGAGAAAAAGCCTCACCTTTGTGTTTGCTGCAATCCAATTAGAAGTTTCACTGTCATCATCACACTTCTTAATCCATTTCTTTAACCACTGTTAGAAAAAATGAAGAAAGAAGAGTCACATTTTAAATAGAGGAACCATAAATGTTCCCAAGACAGCTGATTACATTAAGGTAACGGTAAGGAACACACAACCACATGGGAATAAGGGAGGCTGGTGGTGCTGGAAAGCGGTGCGAACAGGAACTAATTTAGCTGCAGACATTTCCTGCAGCACCATCCTGACCTGGAAAGACCTCTCCAAAGGTTTACCATCCTTAGGTGGTTTCCCTCCCCTCTTCCCAAGGAGGTTTGGGTTGGTTTTTTTTGCATGTGTCACTAGGAACACAGACTGCTCTGTCCCCAGGGCATGAAACCTGGCTGTCCACGAGCTCTGCACAGGACACAGGATCCCAAGCTCGATTACAGCTTCTGACAGCTTCATGACAAAAACAGCCCAGTTCCAGCGTTCACTGTACAGCAGCAGGTCCCAGGACCAAATTAATTCCTTCCAGACAACAAATCACAAGCCTGCTGAAGCACCAAACACCTACAGAAACGTCTAGTACAGGAATGGCTGTTGTCAAGTGAAGTGTGCACTCCTGAAGCACCTTTATTCCTCTTCAGAGAGTCAGAGCTGTAACAGCCGCCTCCTCCTCCAGACAGTTCCCCATCTGTCTGAGGCACCGCTCCTTCCCGAGGTCCAACTTGAGGCATCCTGAAGGTATCCAGTATGATTTCGCTGATTCTTCTCACGCTACGATCTAACCAAGTAAACTACTATGCCTCTTGACATGAACAGCCACAACGCTTGTGCTTCGTTTCTACGTCTTGCACATCAATTGACTTTTTCAAGTTTAGAAAAGAACTTCGACATGCTCACCTTGCATTTAACAGGATCATGCCAGTTTTCACCGCAGTTAAAGCTGTAAGTGAAAGAAAGGAAAAATAAGCAAATAAAGTAGACTTTATTAAAGTACTTTAACTAGGTTAACACCGTGGAAGTTTTCTTCTGGGTTGTTCTCCTGAAAGACCAAAGCCAGTCCCAAGGAGACATTATATGCACACAGAAAAGAAGAACCTCAAATCCCTCAGCAGTTATTTCAGAGCAGTATATACCTTAAAACATTTTGATTCTCTACAGTGCCTGCAATCAAGAACCTCACCTAATCTGAAGCCATTCATCTGAAGTCCATCTCTCAGTGAAAGCTGGATCTGTCTCATTATCAAAGGAGGCTTAAGAGACAGAGAACAACAGCTACATAACGACGGGCTTTGCAACCAGCTGTACCTAATCCTGCTGTACCATTTGAAACCCACCCCCTCCCCATACTTCTCCCACCATCTTAAACCACATCCCAATATAGACTTACAGAATACATACTGAGAGACATTCAAAGTGGTAAGTAAAAAGCAGCATCCACTTCTTTCACTTGATTGTTCTTACCAAAACTGACGTCCACACTTGCAGCGAACGGGTTTAGCATCAGGATATTGGACTTTAACAACGTGGTGGCAATCTGGGGCAGGACACCATTTTAACAGTCGATTACACTATGAAATAAAGTAAAAAAAAAAAAAAATAGAAAAAGGATGTTGCACAAGGACCCTACCTGCCCTTCATCCCTTTTTTATCCTTTCAACCATGACCTTCAGATACACTCCTCCTTCCTGTCTTACCAGTCCTCTGCAATAGGAGTGCTGTCTCCTCAATCT